AGCTTTTCTTCTGACGGCTAAATGTGCAACCTCGGAGGGCTCAGCAGCCTTGTGCATGTCTCCTACGTTCATTTATTCATAAGGGACTGTGAAGGCCGGAGAGATGTGCGTCTGCTCTGCGACTATTAAAAACAATGAATGATTCAGTTAAAGGTTCTGCTTTCTGAAAGATTCATTCGACAGGAAGAACTAATGATGTTCAGGGTTTACTCGGGGATTCATGTTTTGGGAAACAAGTAACTCTCAGAGTAATCTTCTCCAGAGAAATGTCGCCGAACAAGGAACGTTTCTAGGAATGCTCTCCGCCTGGAAAATGTTGGAGGCGCTCTCTGAAGGTTAAATCATGAAAACGTCAGATTACTTGAAGGAACATTCTTCAAATCTTTTTTTAAAGATGTTTTGATAAACATTTGAAGAATGTTCTCCCTAAGGTTCCCTAAAGATTGCCAAACACAACCTTTCAAGGAAGTATCAGCAAATGCTCTCTAAAAGTCATTTCACAAAGCCTTTAGGGTACCTTATGGGATTCTTCCTCAGGATTCACTGGTATTAAAACTATCGGTAAAGATTGTAAAGCTTCGGAGAACATTCCCTTCAAGTTTCTAACTTTTTTTTGTTTTGTTTTAGAAGACATCCGTCCATCTGGGATCCTCCCTTGAGGGTTCCTCACAGGTAAACCTGTTGGAATGACATAGACATTTTCAAAGAATTTTTAAATGAGTGGAAATAAGTTCTGAAATTATGTTTTTTTTAAATGGTTTATGTTTTTTTTAAATGATAATACCCCTTTGGAGGAGCACAAGCCCCCTCATGAATGTTTGGGATTTTTTTTTACAGGGCTGTAAAAACATCTGCAGTCCAGAAAACCTCAGGAACTTCCGGACACATTTGCTTCATAAATGTCATTTTCAGGAATTTGACATAAACTGCGTGTCGGACCATTGCACAGTTCATGTCTGGGTCCTCTTTTTGGCAGAAATCACTAATCACTGTCTGGCTCCCGAAGCGAGAGCTCTGCAGCATAAAGTCCGAACGTTTACAGCTCGGCACAATGACGCCTCTGTGGCCGTTCCGTCCCTTCACAGAGCCACACCGAGAGGTCAAGTTCGTGACTTTTCTGCTTGGCGTTTTTATGGGAGGGGGGCCCTTTGACTGATAGCGTTCTCCCTTTCTAGACATAGTAAGACCTTCTTAGTCCCACGCAGATCTCAACACGTCTGGCAACAGCCTCCTTCAGAGTCAGCCGGCCAAAGAGCGCACAAACTGCGGAGTGACATGGAAGCAGCCATGAGTGGGATCACATGGGGAGCCCACTTTTGACAGGATACATTCAGTGAGGAACCTGATTAATCCCCCAGTTCAACCTGATTAATAACAGAAACACGCCGCTGCGGCCATGATGGAGCAGGTCATAGACCTCGATCACAACTTTGATCTGAACTTTATGAAGCCAGCCCAGAGTTCCTTAAAAGGACCCAAAAAGACTAAGAGTATCAGAAACAGCACTCAGGAAAACTAATGAGAGCCTGAGCGACTACTCTGAGGGTTCAGAAGTAAATAAATCTACTTTTTTAAAAAGATTTCCTGCTCACTACAGCAGATAATTAGAGCCATTGTGTGCAAAAACAACATATTTTATGGGGGAATTTTCACCACCACTGGTGTCACTAAGCTATTAACTATATAAGAAAATGGCTTTTTATTTGGTTTTTAGTTTCATTTTGAGTTTAGATCCATCTTTAAACACAAAAACACCCAATGAATGTTCGATTCAAGGCCTTTACTGATGAGACAATAAGCCAGGAGTTAATCTCTTTGTTTACAAAGAAAGTAATAAAAAGTTCTGACGTCTCATAATCTGAATATGGATGAGTAAAAGACGGGCAGACCTAATAAATATGACAATCATGCTGGGTTTTAAATGGTTTTAATTAACCCTGATTACAGCTTAATTACAAGTTTGAAAAAAAAAAACATAAAAGAATTGGAGAAATTCAATGTTACATCATGGTATTAACTCCCCTCACTCCGTCTGAGTGTTGCGTAACCGCTCGTGGGGGAAGAGGTGAAACAACAGACTGAAATAGGATGAAGATCTTTACACTTTAAAACAAACACAATCGCTTTTCTTTTAAAATCATACGTCCCCTACCCCTTTAAAAACAGAACAAAAACAAAGGAAAAATGTACAAGAGAGAAGGAGAGGAGAAAAAAAAATGGTAAATTAAAAAATAAAAATTACAATACAAGACGAAAAAGATAAAATCACGCCTCGCCGCCGCCGCCCGTCCCCCTCAGGCCCAGGTGTTATTTCTCTGTCAGCATCAAAATCAACGTTACACATTTCATATATTTTACAAATGGAAAAAAACAAAACAAACTAAAGGCGGGTTTCTGGTTCTGGAGGGTTTAAATCGGGGAAAGAAGTCTGAGGGGCGTTTCGCACCATTCAAAGTGATGTGCACGACATAAGAAGCAACAGCTAACCGAGCCAGGGCATAAGGATGAGAATGTCAGGTGGAGCAGTCAATAACCCGGTGAAAACTATATAAACAACAATAATCAATAGCAATATTGACATCATAAAAATAAACCAATAAACCTTTGTTATTTATCTTTTTTTATAGAGAAATGTATCTTTGTGCTGTGTCTACGTTCTCTGACTGTCGAGGCCTGTAACAGGATAGGAAAGCGCCCGTGTTTCGGTCTGACTTTAGTGAGTCTGCAGCGCCCCAAATCGGGCCGGGGCTAGCTGGGGGCCACGGCCGGTCAGAAAACACTGGAAACAAGAGCGCGCAAAAGTTCAGCGGTGGGAGCAGAGAGAGAGAGAGAGAGAGAGCAGAGCAGCTAAGACGGACGTCTCGTCTGTTGCTGAGATATGGAAAGTAGTAGTAAGGCAGCTGTCAGCTCAGTCCAGACCCGGGAGCGGCTGAGTGTGTGCGTGTCGCCACATGCTCCTATCCTATCCACACAGGGGGTCCTGAGCAGGAAATTTGATCAGCTCGGCTACGCGGACGGCCCGCTAGCCGTCTACCTCTCGGGCCGCCGCTATAGATCCGTCTTGTGGCGGGCCGGGCGGGGACAGGCCGCCCGTCAACGCGGCTCGCTTAACCCGGCACACGTTAACGAGCTGCGGGCGCGGGACCTCAGGACACGTCACAAACATGTTCATTAGCTAGTCTGACCGAGGAGAGGGGCCGCTCAGGACGGGGTCTGAGACGCCCAACTCATCCAGGCTGTATCTTACAGCAATGATTAACCGCCTCTTTGTGCTCGCACTGAACTTTGGAGCATTACGCTGTCCTGTCCTGTCAGACAGTACAGGATTACTACTTCACTAATAACCCATGAGCTGACTCCCAGCGCGCCCACACACACACACACACACACACACACGCACGCACCCACGTACGCACACAGACGGCCTGGAGAGGTGGCCTGGAGCCAGGACAGCTCACAGCAGCGAGAGCCCTGCTGAGCAGAGCTACCACAGCAGCAGCGGACTGACCCTCAGCAGTCCCGGTCCCCCCGGTGGACCCACCCGAGTCGTTTTTTTCGCGGGCTCGTTTACCCGCGACACAAATCCAAGAGAAAAAACCCACTCCCCCCGTCTTCGGGTCTCCTTGTTCTGCTCGGCCCGCCTCCGACACCACAGTGAAAAAAAACCCTGAATAAAATGCTCTTTCTTTTTAAAATGCAACTCTTTTTTACTCGTTTCATTCTGAATATATAAAGATAGATTCTTCATGTCGTTAAAGCTCGGTTTGCACTATTGTATATGCTTTAAAAACAAGGCGTACAGCGGCAGTGTGTGAGCGTGTGTGTGAGCGTGTGGAGGAGCTGGAGGTCCAGTCAGAGGGACAGGGAGCATATTTAAGAGCTGAAGGCAGTGCTGTGCATTTGATTTGTGTTTTTGCTGGTTTAGTTTGACACCATCTACGACTGTTAGACGCTCTAGCTGGTGAAATAGGGTTTTGTGATGCTGAGACATGAAGGAAAGCATTTTCAGTGTACAAGCCGCGTCAGGTCCCTAAAGAGCGCACATTGAGAGTGGCTGAAACCCTGCAAACCTGTCCTGGAGGTTCCCAGCAGAGGCTCTCCTCCATCCTTCTGTTACCCTCTCCTCTCCTCACCTCTCCCTAGGGCTGAAACTATTTCTGCGAGTAGAATCACGCTATTTCCACAGGTGGTCCGCATGAGAAAGAAGGGAAGGACAGGAGAAGAAAGAGAGAGAGGGGTTATATAAAAGTCTGTACACCAGAGAGGCTGAGTGTGTGTTTATGCTTGAGAGTGTGTGAGGGCTTGTGCTGCAGGGAACACTGTTTAGCGTCCCCCACAAGTCCCATTCAACTGTTGGCTGGGGTTTCTTGCGTGTGTGTGGATCCAATAAACATACAGCAATAGGCTTCCCTGAGTGGAGTGGGCCAGGTTTAAGAGTCAGTCAGACAACACCCATTCACCCCAGTCACTTATTAAATGATTTGTAGAGCAGCCCTCCTCCCTCACACTCCGTTCTGTGCCCTCCTCCATGGCACTCCGAGGCTCTCAGGGACAGAAACAGGCACTTGAAGTCCCGTCGTCCTGTAGGAAAAGTCGCATGGGTTTGCACATGATGGTCCTGGGCTGGAAGGGCACATGTCCCCTGAGGAAAGTGTTGACTGGGTGCTGATGGGAGCCGGACGATTGGAGCTGTGCTACTGGGGCAGGGCATCTGGAGCTTCACTGGCCAGGCGGGAGGCCATTTTTGAAGTCCCTCCGTCCTATGAATGTGTCCCAGATGAGCCCTGATCCAGGGTTGACGGCGGGTCTGACGCAACGGGAGTGGCAGTCTTTCAGGTGTCAGTTTGATGAGTGTGTATGCTGGACTCTGCTCTCAGGTCACTGGAGGTTACAGGAATCTAGTTTGTCAGTGTGGGAGAGGGACTACAGAGGAACCATTTACATACTCCCGTGCCGCCTTCCGTACTGCCGGAGCAGTAGTGTTTGGGCCGAGGCTGCCATCAGCAGTCTTTGTTCTCCAGGGACAGCTGCGCGGTGGCCCGATGCAGCTCAGCGCTCACTCTCCGGTGTGAGGGCAGCGGCGTTGCTAGAGAGCCCTCGTACGTCAGCGGGGGAGGGCTGTCTCCTTCTCCACTGCCCGTCCCGTCCTCCTCCATCTCCGTGCATCCGTTGCTCTGCCTCCCTCGCTCCCGGTCCTCCTCCGGCCGCACTTTTTTGTCATCCGACTCCTCCTGGGATGCTTCCATGCGCTGGTCTTCGCTCCAGCGCCTCTTGAAGCGCAGCTTGAGGGGGATGCACTTGGTCTGCGTGGCCCCCGCCGAGCCCGTCTGAGAGGGGGGGGTGGTGCTCTCCCCTGGCTCTACGGGCTCACTCTTGAGGGTGGGCAGCGGGCGGAGTGCGTTTGAATGTATGTGCTGGGAGGTGAAGAACGGCATCAGGCCGGGAGGAGGAGGAGCGGGGGCTTTGAAGACGTCCTCGTCCAGGTCTTCGTCGGCGTGGGGCTGATGTTGGTTGGTGGCTGAGCCGTTTGCCAGGTGGTGGTGCTCGGCGGCTCGTAAGTGGCGGCTGGAGAAGAGCTGAAACTCTTCATCTCGCTCATCCGGGTCCTCATCGCTGATGTCTGTGACCTCCACCTCCTCTTCCGACTCTATGTCAGAGATGGGCTCCACCTGGAAATTTGGAGTAATCAAGAGAAAAATAGTTAACTTAAATTTTCATCAAAAAGAATGAAAAGCCTTGATCAATCAGAGATGTTCATCTGCGTCCTAAATACCTTTATCTTGGGGAGTCCCGCGCTGTTTAGAGACTGTGTCGAGGAGGAGGCAGAGATGACTCCAGAGCCGCTGGCTGAGCTCAGGTCGCTTCCAAACGACAGTGAGGAGCCCAGGCCAGAGGTGGAGGACATGGAGCCGGAGCCGGAGCCCGAGGACAGGGAGCTCTGCCTGGGTTTGCTCTGGCTCTGCCCCTCCCGCTGCTTCCGTCCCAGAGGAGGCGGCTGCAGCTTGAACTTGAAGGGGGACATGTGTGGGGGCTCCTCACCCAGGTGGAGAGAGTGATGCATGGGGTGGGAGTGGGGGTGGGGGTGGGCGGAGTGAGGGCGTGGGTGGTGGTGGGCGGAGTGGGCCAGCGATGGGTGGTGGTGGCGGTCTCCTCCCCGCTCTCCGCCGGCGGCGGCTCGCTCTGCCCTCTCGGCGGCTCCTCTCTCGGCGGCTTTGTCTGCGGCGGGCCGGTGGGGCTGGGGGATGACGATGTTGGGGTACTGGAGGAAAGCTCGGGGACTGAGGCCGTAGTTGTACACAGACTGGGTGTGGGCCTGCAGGTACCGCTTCATGTCCTCTGGGTTGAAGGAGAAGTGGGAGCCCAGCATGGGCGACAGAGTGGGCGAGGGAGTGTAGGGGAGGTGAGAGGTTGGGGTCATGGAGAGGGCTGGAGACAGAGGAGGCGCCAGCAGGTTGGCCCCTCCAGGCCCAGGCAGGGGGGACACTGGGAATGGGGACAGGGGCTCCTGGTGGATGCGGTGCCCGGTGGGGCCGCGGGAGCCGTGGTGGCCCGCGGGGTTCCCCGGCCCTCCATACATGCGGAAAAGGGTCTCGTGGGACAGACGGGGGTGAATGATACTTCGGTACCCGCCTCCACCTCCAGGGCCACCTCCTCCACTCACACCCCTCTCGCCTCGCTCCTCCCCCACTCCCGTGTTGCCCTCCTCCACCTCTGAATTGACGGAGGTGCCGTCGCTGCAGTCGCTGACCGAGCCGCGTCCTATCCGCCGGGCCACGGAGCTGAACATGCCCCCGGGGCTGCGCAGGTCCTCGTTGGGGGACAGGACCTCCGAGGGAGTGGAAGGAGGGAAGCGGAAATGGGTTCCGGCTCCTGTCGGGACGGGAGGGGCGCTCTGAGGAACGCTGCTTCCTGGAGACGGCGGGGAGGGGACAGAGAGAGAGAGAGAGGGAGAAAAAAGCAGAGTTCTCAGAAATGACAAATAATGCTGTCCTGTGTAATCCTGAGTAATCGCTCCGTCCTTTTGTGGGATTATGAGATATTTGAGCGTGCACCGGCATGCCGACGCGCTGCAATTGTGCATCCAGACTTACCAGAGGAGCCCATGTCGATGAAGGGGTAGTTGACCAAAACCAGTTTGTTGAAGTTGAACTTATAGGTAAACCTCTTGCCTTTGGTTTTATGGAGGATCCTCTTGTTGTAGTAGTATCTGGAAACAACAGAAGGCATTCAAATGAGCCTCTGAAAAGCACCAGCACATATCAAACTTAACGCAAAGGTTTTTGTCAAATGATCCTTTTATCAAAACCACAGAGGCTGTGACAGATGTGCCTGCACATACTTTAATAACCACAAGTCTTTCATGTGCCCCCCCCCCCCCATGACAACCATGACAGATATTAAAGAGTGTTGTATGACATTTGCACAAAGCAGACCAAGAAAGGAGGAGGAGGAGGAGAGGGGAGGGGATGGGGGAAACAGACAGATGAGAAACGGAGGATGGACTGGGCCGTGGATGTTGTGTGTCAGGATCAGCAAATAATTAAAGGGATCAGAGGCCAGTGTAAGCAGCGTTACCACTGCGGCCAAAGGTTAGGCTATTTTCAGTCTGCATGGATTGTTAGGACACCAGGGTGTATGAGGAGCTGAAAGCATGTTTAAAAGGAGCGAGGACTGTGTAAATAAAGGAGCCAAGAATCTCACACAAACAGTCAGAGACACCGTCTTTCATTTTGCTAGATGGAGCCATCTCTTTATATAACAGCCAAGCAAAGTCGCTAATAATTCAGCTCATCTTTATCTGTTTATGTAATGGCCATTCTCTCTTTTTTTTTTCGCTTTCCCCCCCTCCCGTGGTTCCTGCCTACAGTACAAGGCTCCATTTTTATTAACCTTTGTCCAGCTCTAGCTCTTTATGTAACATCTCCGCTTTCTTACCCAGATCCACACTACTACTTTATGTAACCTCTAGCTCCCTGGCTACCA